CGAGTCGTACATAAATATAGCAAAACTAAATATGTTTTCTTGGATTTTGACAAAAAATTTTGTTATTTAAGTAAACTTTTAGTTTTTATAACGTTCAACGTGTATATTTTTTCAACTGCGCGCACCAATGGACCTCTCGTCAAAGAGTTGAAACTACAACCAAATAATTGTGAATTTTTAAAACCTGAACTAGAATATTTAGACCACATTATTAGTAAAGATGGGGTAAAACCAAATCAAAAAAAAAAAAAAAAAAAATTGAAGCTGTAAAAGAATTCAGATCATCCAGAAACCCCAAAGAAATTAAACAATTCTTAGGTCTAGCTGGTTATTATAGGAAATTTATTCGAAATTTTGCAAAGATAGCTAAATCATTATCGAAATTAACAAAAAAGAACGAACCTTACAGATGGATTGATGAACAGCAGATTGCTTTTGATACACTTAAACTTAAATTATGCGAGGAACCAGTTCTGAAATACCCTGACTTTAATAAAGAATTCGTACTGACTATCGACGCAAGTAATGAGGAATTAGGAGCAATATTGTCACAAAATGGACACCTCTGTTATATATCGTGGATACTTAATGATGCAGAAACACATTACACGACGACTGAAAAAGAATTATTAGCGATAGTCTGGGCTATACAACGACTAAGACAATACTTGTTAGGACGAAAGTTTAAAATTAGGACAGACTACCAAGTATTAAAATGGTTACATAATATCAAAGACCCATCTTTAAGATTAATTAGGTGGAGACTTAGATTAGCAGAATACGAATACGAAATAGAATATCATAAAGGAAAAACTAATCTGGCAGCTAAAGTGTTGCCACGACGAATAAACATTACACAAGATAAAAACGACATTGAATGACAAGACCACAAACGAGCTCTTCGAACTAGCAAATCAGACGATAAAATCAAATGACAATGACGAGACTACGGAACCGAGTAATAATGTAGCCGACGACTTCGACGATTATACAGAATTTTTAGCCAAACAAAGGATCCCCCTCTTAACTTTAAGGAAATAGCGTATCGAGATAAAATAAAACAAATTGACAGATTAGAAGTAGATTGCCCTAGAGAAATAGAGTTATTGGCAAAATTTACACACAAATAGAAATAATAGATCATATGTTTTCAGAGAATCTGGGAGAAAAAAATCAGTAAAATATTACAGTATTTAGCATTTAAAGACCCGGATAGAAATTACACACTCTCACCTTTAATCGACCTAAAATCGAAAAAACGTTACGTAGAAACCATGCATTACGCACAAATCAAAGTAATTACAGAAATAAAATATAATACTTGCAGTTTAGCAGCAGTGGTCATCATAAAAACAAACGAAACATAGAAACCGTGAACATTTTGCACATTTGATAATAGCTGCTTCATTACATGTACGTTTGGCTTCATTTAATTCTGTAGGAAAGCACAATTGATTGACGTTTTCAAATAAAATTTCTCTTTATGTGGACAAACCAGCAGCAAACCATGCGTACTGCAATGGGACTTGACAATTGATGGTGTATGAGGGAATGTATTTTTACTCCGTCTTCCCTACTCGAAATTTCAAGACTATTTTTAATTAAAAGATTATTGCAATTTTTTTTTATACCCAAAAAATGTACATTTTTATAGATGAAATATAATAAATGAAAATAGTTTAAAAAGTTGAAAAAGAAAAATCGAACCTGAGTCGACGGTTTGCCATCCTAGTAAGTTACCATAAAGCCATGGCTGTTCACTTTAATTGCACCTGTACTTACTGGTATAAAAAAACTTTAATTGCAAATATCTTGAAACTTTCGAGTGTCTGCCCCTATAATGATATATATTCGTAAACAGAATACCGAAATCTATCAAAACTTCAGCCGAATCCCACATACCCGAAAGCCTTGCGATCTGGTCTGCTAAGACTTTTTATTTCTGTCAATTCTGCATTACAATAAATTTTGTTTTCCAACTTATTTAAAACAACGCAGGATAAAAAGAATTTCTTTATTTTATTCCTACATTAATCTCTTTGGTAGAGCATTGTGTTGCCTTATGTAGATAAATGCGAAATATCATATTGCTTCTGCGTAAATAATGTTTATTCATCATATATAATGCGTGAATACTAAAAGTATTATTGAAATACGTAGATAACATGTTTCCAATATCAAAAAGAATAGACATTAAACATCAATCACAGAAGAAAAACTGTGTTATTAAGTTGATAGCTATGATAGTCATTTTAGTTACATATAAACATACATTTAATATCCGACGTTATTCGGCGATCATACCAAAGAGATTAATTTTTATTTTGTTTCAATAAACATCAATTTCTGCTTGACATAAAATTTTTATGAGAATGTAGCGAAGGGATAGAAGATTCGAAGTAAAAAATTTTAGCTGCGGTATTTAATAGTTACAAATATAGTTTCGATACAACGCATCGAATTCTATCCTGTAAAATTAAGAAATTGTTACTAACAATAAAAGTAACGAATTAAAGTTACATCATCCGCTGTAATGTTCAATGAATTGTACCAAACATTTCTTAATAGTATCTCTAAATTTTTTTAATAACTTTTTAATTTCTAATGATTTCTTAACACTAATAACATTTTGTGATTGAGATCCTCTATTCTCTCTCTCTCTCTCTCTCTCTCTCTCTCTCTCTCTCTCTGTTTCCTCAAAATTACTTATCGATCGATTGTCAGTACGTTTCAGAATTACAACCTAGCAAATGAGCTTGTGGAAGTAAGTTCATTTCTTGAGATTTTTGTCTTAAATGGCTTATGTAATAAAGTCAAGAAACCGGTTTTCTTGAGATTTTTGTCTTAAATGGCTTATGTAACAAAACGAACAAACCGGTTGCACCAAGATCGCAACAGTGGCGTAGGATTCTTCGACGGAATTCGCTTTACTTAATTTTTCGCTGACACTGTTTTTATTAACATTAACGTTCATTGTATTCATGTTGTAAGATTTTCAGCCGCAATAATTGTAATTAAATAATAAAAACATGAATCGGAAAATTGAAAAGTGAAGAACACAACGACAAAGTCGTTTACTTTAGGTTTCTGTAGAGGATAAAATTTTGATCATTTTGAATACCTTCGTTGTTGAAACAAAAATTAGTTTGTACACAAGAGACTATAAAATGACAGCAATTTTTCTTGCAAGGTCATTTGACCTTAAATGTAGAAACGAGTAACGTAACTCAGTGCATTATTGCAACATAAGGATGTTTGTGTCCTTACTGAATTCTGTCGCATTTCGCCAGACAACAGAAATAAATCTATTTATTCATTAAATGAGAATTTGTTTTCCATGATAATTTGTTCCTAAAATTTTTCAATATTTTCTAGTGGGAAGATCTCTTGATATTAGTGGGAAAAAATTGGTAACTTCTCAGTATCACTGGTCTTTATTTATATTGTATTTCTTACTACGATTGATATCGCATGATAAATATCAACGCTTTACAGAGTAAATATTTTCCCAGCAAGAAAACATCGTAAAGTGGAAATAAAAAAAAAAAATTGATATTCTAGTAGTCAGCATTATATTCATCATTGCTGCGTTTGACGAAGAAGTCATTTTTTTAGTATTGGAACAACAAAATTATCATTGCTTGAAATATGTTCTGTGTTATTGTTTTGAAAGAATTGTGTTAATTCATACATATTTTCGATATTTTGCTATAATTTAATAATTAACTCTGTTGTTTTACCGTGAAGCTGTAGAACATATAGAAGCATGTAACTGTGAATAAAACAGGTAAAGAAAATGTAACTGTGAATTGCTAAAAAATGAATGTACATAAACAATACCAAGGTGTGTATGAACAATTGAAACAAGAAGAATATTATTTAATGCTATTATTATTTAATGTTGACGTTATACAACATAGAATCTGAATTAAATATAAATTGAACAACTTCTGCTGACAAAGATTTTTCATATATATCACTTTCTATGTAAATTTTCTAAATTGCATACAGGATGTGAAAGAAAGAAGTGGTAAAAGTAGTTTCGTACTTGTATTCTGCTGCCACTAGGGGAGGAAAAAGATAATATAAAAAGTCATAGCTTGAAATTCTACATGTAGTTGTTATTTTGCTGAATTTAAACTAGAAATGTTTATATTTCAGGAAGGAGCAGTTTTTAACATACTTATATTATTTTTATACTATCTTGGGAACAATAAAACATGATGAATCAGAATCTGATTACAGAATCTACGATTTTTGCTAAACCTGTTGTTTCCATTGTTTTCAAAAACGAAGAAAATGATAAAATATGACCACTGTAGCAATTCCTGTAGTGTTTCCTCGACTACTGAAACGATATTTTCTGCTTCTTTGAACTTTTATAGTGACATCATCCCACTAGTATTACCGTTACCATTATCATCACTACTATTACCATTACCACTAGAGTTGCCAAGATGAGAGCAGCATATTTATACATATCTGCTACAGATGTGCAGATGAAAACAATTAATGAGGCTTATTTACCTAAGTTTAAAAATTAATTCGCATTCTATAAATTGAATTACTTACATATACATTGTATAACGATCAATATTAATGGTAAATCAACGTAATGTTAATACTAAATATTAACTAAATCAACGTATGGATGGTCTTTGACAGTGTCATTGATCCTATTTTCTTCCCACTTT